AATGCTGCCTCATGACATGGCTAAGCTCTTATTCTTGTTCACTAGCATAGTTAGCTGAGTGTGTGCATACATGTGCGTGTGTGCTGTGTGTGTGTATATATGTGTAAGAAAGAGACAGAAGCAGATAGAAAGACAAACACATACACACAAAGATTGCTGGACTAAGCCAAGAATAGTAAATATCCTTTAAAGCAGATCCTAGCTCAGGCTTATAGTCTAAAATTTATTATTGAAAGGACTTTTTCTTTATTCTTAAAATTTTCTATTACATTTTAGACAATTTCATATGACAAAATTAGAATTAATGGGCTAATATTGTTCACTAACTCTTCAGGATTCTGTTAATATAAAATTGACAAAAGAAGGTAAGTACATGGGATTAAAACCGCTCTGCACCATGACCGGTAGCAGTATTCTCACTGGACCAAACTGGCCCTACTTTCAATAAAATCAGAGAAGGATCCTTTCCCTGGAGTCCTGTTAGGCTAGGGCGGCTGTTAGAACTGTCATCTCCACACAGAAGGGAAAGGGCTGGGTTTTACAAATGTGAAGCCTAATTGGGAGCTCTTCATGGCTGTACCCTTGACATTTATTTAAGCCTCATCAACAAAACAGAAAACAGCCATACTAATTAGCAGACCAGCACACAAATTACTATTTGTTGGGGGAGGATTATAGATTCACAGTCTATTCCAAAGACAAGCAAGGTAATGGGACAGACATTTAAATTCATCTCCCATAGCATCCACACTGTAGACTTTGCTTACGTTTAAGACACATTCTTATAATTCAAATGATCACAATTTCATTTAATATTCTGAAAGATAAATGAAAACAAAGTCTTTCATTGGCAAGTCTTGGTAGAAACTAAAAAAGCCATATTCTTTCCACAGCTGGGTCAGTGCTGATAATTAAATGGACTCAGAGTAGGAAGAGTCAAGTCCATTCAAAGTCATTTCTTAATGCAGCTAACAATAAAACAAACACCACCTTGCAAAGTTATAGACAAAAGACTTATTCATAAAACAAGATGTATATTGCTCTTGCAATCATATGCTAAAGTCAGCAGTCAGCCGCCCACTTAGAGAAGAGGAATACCTGCTACTTTTGTGACACAGTGCTGTTTAGTGACTAAGGACAGAAATTTCACACAAGGCAAGAGAGTCAAACAGGGCCATTGTTACAAAGGGCCTGGCACTCAGGACACATGTGTGCACATGAACAGCACCAATTGTAGAGTACTATTATACTTCATTTATGAAGCTATTTTTTCACACTGACAATTCCCTATAGCAGCCTAGGAAAATGGTGCATGATGTTATTATCAATTAAAAAGGAGGAAACCAACACAAAGAGATATTTTATTTTACACAATGTTAAAAGTAAGTTCCTTTTTCAAAGAAGTCAGGTCTGGCTCTGTACTAATTTTTCCATCAGATGTACTGGGAAGGATCACAGTTAACTCCAATGTATTGTATACTGAGAAATTGATAAATGTAGGTTTGATGTGCTCTTATGTGCCCAAAAAGTTAACTGAGAAGGTAATGGATATGTTAATTTGTTCAAATGTAATCATTTTGCCATGTATATAAAAACGTTTTATTCCTTAATCATAGAAATTAAAAAATAGATTTCTAGAAATTAAAAAATAGATTTCTAGAAATTAACATGAAACATGTAAAAACAGAAATTAGTAAGTTATAATAGAAATGTCATACATTGGTCTAAAAAGAAAACTGAATACTAACATGAGGAGTTATCTTAGACACTTGAGTCTCAGCTGAGAGCTGCACTCCGGAGCTTTAAACAGCACGGGGTCGCTAAAGACTATGTGGACTTTTGATGCTGTGTTGCACACATTTCGGGTTATGGGAGAGCCGTGAGCCTATGAGGACAAAAGGTAGAAAGCTATACTTTTAAAGTGACATGTTTTGCTATCAAGATGACAAAACCTGGAATTGCATGGTTCATCTTGATTTACACAATAATAGTATTTAGAATCCCACAGAAATAACTTCTGCATGTACCTATGAAGATTTTCTATATTCTTATGTTCTAGAATTCTATATTCTACCATTCTAGAATGGTAGGTAACACCATTCAGTGGGCTGTGATCCCAGGGTGAACTAGAAGGGAGAAGCTCAGCTGAGTAGCAGTATTCTTCTGTTTTCCTAGCAGTGCATGGCATGTTACCAGCTGCTTCAAACACCTGCCATCCAGAGTCTCCTGCCACAGTGGACTGCACCCTCAAACTGGGAGCCAAATAAAGCCCTCCTTCCTTTAAGGTGTGGCTCCTTACCTGCCACTATTCTAGTATGAGCTACAGACAAATGCTATGATCAGCCTGGCTGTCAACCTTGACAGAATTCGTAAAAGAAGCTTTGTAGACACTCTGCATTTGAGTCTAAAGGTGCCCAACAAACTGCAATTTGATATGGAAGATTTAATTGGTTAAAATCTTTGGAAGCCTACTTTAACTACAAAATAACAGATTTCACTGCTATTTTTCTAAACACTTTCCCAATTGGAACAGTATTTTTAGTGATATCAGCATTTGAACAGAAGCTTTATATAATATTTAATTACAGCATACAAAATAGCCAAGTCTAAAAAAACTCTTAGATATACGGTCCCTAAGCTATGATGGTTTGGCTTTAAGACTTTTTTCTCTCTTTTTTTAAATTTTCTTTTTTTTTTCTTTATTAATTACACTTTCTTCCCTTTGTATCCCCCCTGTGGTTCTCTCCCTCCTCCTGTCCCAATCCCTCCCTTCCTCAACCCTCTGCATTCATGCCCCTCCCCAAGTCCACTGATAGGGGAGGACTTCTTTTCCTTCCTTCTGATCCTAGTCAATTAGGTCTCATCAGGAGTGGCTGCACTGTCTTCTTCTGTGGCCTGGTAATGCTGCTTCCCCCTCAGGGGGAGGTAATTAAAGAGCAGGCCAATCAGTTCATGTCAGAGACAGTCCCTGTTCCTATTACAATGGAACTCACTTGGATACTGAACTGCCATGGTCTACATCTGTGCAGGGGTCTTAGGTTATCTCCATGCATAGTCCTTGGTTGGAGTATCAGTCTCAGGAAAGACCTTTGTGCTCAGATTTTTTGGTTCTGTTGCTCTCCTTGTGGAATTCCTTTCCCCTCCAGGTCTTTCTATCTCCCCCTTCTTTCCTAAGATTCCCTGCACTCTGCCCAAAGGTTGCCTATAAGTCTCAGCATCTACATTGATAGTCTGCAGGGCAGAGCCTTTCAGAGGCCCTCTGGGGCAGGCTCCTGACTTGTTCCCTTTTTTCTCCTTCTTCTGATGTCCTCTTTGCCTTTCTGGATAGGAATTGAGCATTTTAGCAAGAGTCCTCCCTCTTGATTAGTTTTTCTAGGTGTACAGATTTTAGTAGGTTTATCCTATATTATATGTCTATATGAGTGAGTATATACCGTGTGCATCTTTCTGCTTCTGGGATAGCTCACTCAGGATGATCTTTTCCAGATCCCACCATTTACCTGCAAATTTCATGATTTCCTTGTTTTTTTATTGCTGAATAATATTTCATTGTGTAGATATACCACAATTTCTCTATCCATTCCTCCACTGAGGGGCATCTGGGCTGTTTCCAGCTTCTGGCTATTACAAATAAAGCTGCTACAAACATGGTTGAGCAAATGTCCTTATTGTGTACTTGAGAATCTTTTGGATATATGCCTAGGAATGGTATAGCTGGATCTTGAGGAAGCGCTATTCCTAGTTGTCTGAGAAAGCGCCAGATTGCTTTCTAGGGTGGTTGTACAAGTTGACATTCCCACCAGCAGTGGAGGAGGGTTCCCCTTTCTCCACAACCTCTCCAGCATGTGTTGTCTCTTGAGTTTTTAATCTTAGCCATTCTGATGGGTGTAAGGTGAAATCTTAGGGTCGTTCTGATTTGCATTTCCCTGATGGCTAATGAGGTTGAGCATTTCTTAGTGTTTCTCTGCCATTCGATATTCCTCTGCAGAGAATTCTCTGTTTAGCTCTGTACCCCATTTTTTTTTAATTGGATTACTTGATTTTTTGCTGTTTAACTTCTTTAGTTCTTTATATATACTGGATATTAGCCCTCTGTCAGATATAGGTTTTTAAGTTTACTACAGAGAAAAGCAATATATTTTAGGTAAAAATGATCTTTCAACTTTTGAGCAGTAAATGATACAATACTACTCCTTGATTCTGGGTAGTGCAGGGACTCAGAGCCTCCTGTCAGATGCTGCCACAGCGGGAACAACCCAACAGTGTATGGGGCTGCTTAGTTATGATGCGCAATAAGTTGAGTGTCTTTATGGCATTTTCAGTTACAATATGAACAACTTCCCCTGGGTCTATCAGGAGGCACCCCATCATAAGTTAAGGATCATCTATACATTAATTCATCCTTGGATTTCCTAATATTGTTTTAATTTTGCCTGGGTTTCATGTTATGTTCTTGGCAAAGGGAGTCTATTATTGCTGTTCCTTGTCATTTCACATAATCACAGATTGAACTGTCTCTCAGACTCACTGGAGCATAAACTTTTTGAAGACATGACAAAACACAAATTAAATATCCTGTATGTAAAAAGCTTGAGAACAGCACTGTTTCATGTTTGGACTTTTTGGGTGCTACAAAGCTGTACATACACACTGAGATATCTTGTGGACATGAATTGTCCTAACACCAAATTAATCCTTTAGACAGCTTACACAGAGTCCAATGGCAAATTTAGCCAACATTTTAATAAACAGTACAATAAGCTTATGTTTTGAATGTGATGTGTTACCTAGAATATTCTTGGGATGTTCCATGTTTACATCAAGATGGAATTCTAAGATTAGGAATATTTGTTTCTCCATTGACAGTCCTGAGTCCACTACTCCCCCTCCCCCCGATCACTAATGTTGATTTTCCTACATGAATATTAATGGTCCAAGTTACTCCTGAGGAATCTGCTGAATTTGTGCAATCTTTGTGGCACAGGGGTAAGCATCCTCACCTGGGAAAGCTTATGCTTCTCTCTGTCGTCTCCCTTTTCATTGTGTAACATGTAAACTGGTGTGTACTGTACCAAGCCAGAACAGGTCCCATGATCTTCCTCATTGTCCTACACATGAAGAAAAGTAGAATTATTTTACAGTACTCTATTTTTTAGCTAGTGTTATTTGATTAATAAGGTATCTGTGAAGCATCCAAAGAAAACAATTACATTTTGGCTATAATTTCAAAGAATAAGCTAAGGAAAAAAAAAGATTTTTCTATGGTGTGTGTTAATAATTTCAATATTAACACTTAATATTGTTACTTAATTTAATAACTTCAAAAATAATCTATACTTTGACTAGTTGAAACAAAATTTATATGAAGATAAATGTTCACCATTACTAAAATGGCAGATTTTTAAGTGGTTTGTTTTCTTCAAAAGTAAAACTTCAAAACATAATTGTTAATAAAATTGCAAAGATGTAATTTGTAATTAAACCAAACACATCTCGTTATATGGGCATTCACATGATACCTGCCATAATCATAGATTTAAAATCAAATTGTCAGAGGTGATCTTTTATAAATTAGGAATTCTTCAATGTAGTAACTACCATTTAAATGAACTTGTAAAACCAAATAATGGCATATCCTGATTAATTCCAACCAAGATTTTTTTTTTTAATGGTCATTTCAAAGCAAGATCTTCAATTGTACCATAAAGGCAAACAATTTTATGAAGACATACATCCTGTTAACAGTATTTTTGAAGATCTCTACTTTCTGTGATAAAACATGTAAGCAATAAAGAGATTATTCAGTAGATGCATATTGAATAGCATAGAGATAGTTGACAAAGAGCTTGTGATGAAAAACAATTTCTTGAATAAAGGAAAAGCATACTTCAAAAGCCTTTAAAACATCAATCAATCAATAAGTCTGTAGAGCAGGGGCTTCAAACTCATACAAAATCAGGTGAAGTAAGAACATAAGAGGGACACACCTTGTGTTTCAGCCTACTCTTGACTTCTTTTATTCCCAGTCTGGCATGACTCTTTGCCTATAAAGTGAGAATAAGTGTACTGAGCTTTGCATTTAGTATCATTTACTAAATATATAGACACATAGAATTATCTCTAACAAGAATTGCTAACTAGATTAGTTAGAAAGTTAGAAAGAAAAAAATAAAAGAAAAATTATATCCTAACACAATTTTGGAGATGCCATCTACTTACCATTTTATTAAGGCTAAATTTGCTGGTTAAAAGGGTCAATCTGTATTATATACAAACACAGAAAGATTAACATTCAGCTTGGAATCAATTGAGTACCTAATGGCAAAATTGTCACCAATGAGAGATGGAGACAAGTTAAATCACAGCATCAAGTTATTTGGGCAAATGTGTAAGCTTCAGGAATTGAAGCTATTTTACAGAATGTTATTAAAGTGCTTTTTCAGACAGATTTTACTAGCACTGGCATCTTTGGGGTGTGGCTATTTCACACATAGATTTTTCCACCAAAAACTAAAAGTCACTGAACAGTTTCATGCTACCCTCATATTTCTCTGGGTTTTGGCCTCACAGTTGAGTGTCTCCAGTCTGGCTATGAATTGTGGGGTCCAACTTAGGGTAACTGGAAGCTTCATAATGGTGGGGTCTTTGTTGCACTGGAGATTTCTATTCACAGTGTTCATGGTGAAAACAGAGGAAAGGAAGCCTCATTTATTTTGTTTTCTGACTGTGTGCTGCATGCTTACATACGCTGCAGTTTATTGTCACAACTCCAAAATTGCACTGTTATCAAGACACCTTACAAAACAGGACAGTAAGTCAGCAAATTAAGTCTATATAGTCTAGATGAAAATCAAGATTATATTTAGTTGTAAATTCTTGTATCTCCTCTTTTCAAGGAGGAAGGACAAAACAATGTTTTAAAAATACACCAATTTTTAAGCCTCACCAAAAAGAGGGCAACATTAGTCTTATCACAGACACACAGTTGGGACGTCAATCCCAAAGCCTTTGTTCCCACTAACTTGTGCTGCTCCTTTAAGCTGTTTTTGAGGGGAGTCAAAATATGACCTCACGTTCCCTGAGGAAAAGGAGCTTTCCCTATTAGCGAGTGCAAAGCCCAGAGTGCTACGGACATACAGTCAAGCACTCAAGTTTCAAAAAATGGACATTGCACAAGGATCAGCTTTCGTTAAAAATATGACACAAAATGATTTATTCATGTCTTCAAACCTCTTGATATAATCACAGGTAAATGAAGTATATTCTAAAGACCTGAATTTGCCAGAAGTTACTTGAAGAAATAATCCTTCAGGAGTTTAATTTTTAGTTTGTAAAGATATTACAGCCTTGCAGAGAAAATTCAAAGTAAAACAATGAATGATTTGAGTGATCAGACTTTCCATAATGAGACATTGAAAGAAGTGAATGAAAGTAGAGATAAAAATATATTTGGAAGAACAATATAACAGTGGAATCCTAAGGAAACTTATTAGGAGCTCATCATCAAGAGGACCAGTGGTAGTTGAATTTTATTGTTGCTGCATTGCATTTTAAGAACTTACAGTTTTGCTTGTGAGAAAGGAAGCTCAGTCTGAATTTTTTTCTCAGAGGCTGTGCCATTGCCTTGTGGGAAACCCTCCTTCAGGTGGATACTTACACCAATCCTGGGGCAGTGGTGGATACTTGAAAGGCTTCCCAACAAAATTATAAGAAAACCAAACAAGTGGAAGACTGACATTTATAAAGCAAACAACTTCCTGAACAGAACACCAACAGCACAGGCTCTAAGAGCAACAATCAATAAATGGGACCTCATGAAATTGAAAAGCTTCTGTAAAGCAAAAGACACCGTCATCAAAACAAAACGACTGCCTACATATTGGGAAAAAATCATCATCAACCCTTTATCTGACAGAGGGCTTGCCATGCTGGCATGAAGACCTGCATTCCATCACCAGAGCCAAGTAAAAGGCTGGGCACAAGGCTGCACTTGTGTTACAATGCTGAGAAGGCAGAGATGGGCAGATTCATGAGGTTCCCTAACCTCATCCAACCTAGCTCAATGATGAGCCCCAGGCTCTAGTGGGAGACCCTGCTTAAACTTATGGATCCACAACTGGCCAAACACAGAGGACAGCTGTGGGGTGTTCAGCCCCACTGATAAATCTGCAACACAATGGTACAGCTGAGGATCAGGGAATACAGAAAGAGCACAAGAGCCAAAGGACCAGAAGAGAGTGTCTGTTGCAAGACAGTATATTCTGTATACAACAGTGAAGCTGCACCCAGCACATCTCAACAATATGGTTGACTAAACAAGATCTACAAAAATGACTACACCAATTGATCTTTCACATAAATGGGAAAATTCTCACAGGGCTTGATTTCTAGAGAAAGAGCTAATAGCAATTAATGGCAGGTCAGAGAGGGACAGAATCTGTCTTCACCAGGAATGAGGTGCCTGATGGGTTAGCCAACCCCAAGAGTTTATCCCATACATATGAGCAACACTAAACAGGCTCAGCAGGTTGTATTTATAACTTATATACATGTATACTTAAATAAACATACATACATATGCATATATGTAACAATTATATTTTAAGAAGAGGAGGACATGAATTTGAGGAGAGTGACCCCAGAGGAACTAGAGGGAGGAGGAGAGTGACATAAATGCAATCAATACTCATATATAAAATTCTCAAAAAGCGTGTAGAAAGTAATTACAGACTGACCTTAATTAAATAAAAAGAAAACAAATACAAACACGCATGCATGCACATCATATGTGTAATTTTGTCAACAAAAGTCTAAAATCCAGAGAGGAAACTTACAAATTTGTATGCAGTTCGCATAGCAGGAGTTGCTTTGGTCACAGCTGTGTTGAACAGTGCGCCTCCTTTCTGAAAGGAGAGAAACATGTTTTTTAAAGACTTGTGAGCAAATTGTCCTGAAGAAATGAGGCACTGTTAATAATACAGAAAATAATTGTTAAGTTAAAGACCAATAAAAGCATGCCCAGTGTTTTTAAGATTTTACATTTTATAATAAGTTAAGACAAGGTTTAAATATTCTGTTTTGCTCTTTTAGTTGGTATAAAGCATCATTCAAGAGTAATTTCATCACTGAAGTTTAAATAGAAGAAGAATATGGACAATACTGAATATAAACTTAAAAGTTTCTCAATAAAGAGAACATGATGTTTATCAGCTGGTTTGATGTTGGGCAATAAAGATTCAATCTATGGGAGGTTTTTTTTCATGTTAAAAAAAACATACTAACAAAACTTTGTACCCTGGCTCTTTGTTTGATTTCTGTTGTTGTGACACGAAAATCAGTTTCAGGAGAAAAGAATTTATTACATCATGCAGGTTAGAGCCCATCATCAATGGAAGCCAGGGCAGGAGTTCAAGCAGGACGCTGAAGTGGGGATGCTGCTTGCTGGCCCCCTTCCATATATAAACATATAAAGGTAGCTCATATTCATCTACCTTTCTTAAACCTCCCAGGACCACCTGCCCAGGGTAGCATTCTCCAAAGTGGGCTGCTACATCAGTCATCAATCAAGAAAATGTCATAAAGCCATGCCCACAGGACAATATGATACAGGTATTTCCTTAATTGAGGTTCCCTCCTCCTAATTGTGTCATGCTGTCAGAATCTAACCAGCACATTGTGCTCTGAGGTATAATCCAAAACACAGGCAAACGTTGGCTTTGAATAAGCCTTTTACTTCTGAACTAACCATTTTCATTTTAAATTTCTTTTCTAATTATCAACAAACTATAAACGAAAAGATTGAAAGTGTGATAAAATGTACACATTTCAAATTAAACGGTGTTAAATACAGCCAGGAAACTTTCTTTGAACATTTCTCCTCACTTTCTTGAGCAAAAAGGAAGAAACAAAAGGCGTGTGCTTACCTTGACCGTATGCATCCATTGCTGATATGACCGCGGGCTCCCTGGAACATATAAAAAGTAGATGCCAAGAACAGCTGTAAAAGGTAAGGGCAGAAACCACAGTCTGCCCCGAGCAGCACAGCGCTACTTTCCTGGGCCTGCGTGAAAGCAAGACTGGGGCTGTAGGAACCAGTGCAGCCAGGACTAACTTACCAGCAGTGCTCTTCACCCACAGGTACAGTAATGCTCCCCATGTCCTCTCATTTTAATATTTACCTCTCAACAGAAATGTAACCTCTTGAAAGTCAACATGTCTATGCATTTTAAATTAATTTTTCAAAGTGTCATATCTATTGTTTTAAAAACTGTTTGTTTTATACAATTAGATTCACTTAAAACATTTCAAGTACAGAGAAGAATTAAGGAAAAGGGAAACTGAAAAATGCAGAAAACCCTAAGGATAAAAAAAGATTGTTTTGTATTTTTTAAATAGTAATGTACACTAATAGGTACTTGTTTTTTAATGTAACTAAATGACACTTTTATCTGTGAAAATATTTTCTAACTTTCTAAATAAAAAAAGTATTTCTGAAAGGAAATATGAAGAAAGCAATGTCATGGTTATGAACAAGCTGATATAACAAAATTACTTCTAACAAAATCTGACAGTTCAGGCTGGAGAGAAGCTCACTGGGTAAAATACTTGCTGTGCAAACATGAGGACCTGAGTTAGTTCCAAATAAAAAGCGAGATGTGGTGGCACACACATTTAATTTTAGTGCTGGGATGGTAGACACAGACATTCTTCTGCAAGAAACTGGAGGACCCTGCCTCAAACATCAGGGCATATGGCGAGTAAGAAATAATGTCTACGACTGTGTTTTGGCCTCCTCATTCACAAGTATGGTATCCACCCAGACCCCAGAGATAAGCTGACATGCACCAAAAACTGCTCAGACATATTCACTTGCAAATAACATTATTTTGTCAATGAAATGATATTATTAGCCAAAGCAAAAACACATCCGGTGCTGAAGAGATGGCTCAGCAGTTAACAACAGTTCTTGTAGAAGACCCAGGATCACTTCCCAGTACCCACATGGTGACTTATAACTATCTATAATTCTAGATCCAGGGATATAACACCCTCTTTTGGCCTCTATGGGCACCAAACCTGAATATGGTGCACATACATACATATAGCCAAAACATCCATACACACAAACAACCTCCTCCCCATCCCCCCAAAAAACTTAGAAAAAAAAATCATACATCTTGCATAGTCATTCAAACTGACTTCAGTTAGATCTTAAACTACTGCCTTAATTTTTCCAATAGTTATCCCCCAAATTATAAAGGGAAAAAGTCATTATTAAAAATAAAATCTCAGTGGCTATTCAGTCACTTTTGCACAAACCCTTCAAAATTCAGTGTTTTTTTTTTTTTTTTTTATGTGGTTGTATTTGTGTTTTAAAAAGAAAATATAGCAAGGGCTAGCAAGATGTTAAAGGCACTAGCATGCTTATAGTTGAGACTTTTGAGTTTGGTCCCCAGAACCCACACAGTAGTAGGTGAGAACCGAATCTCGCCAGTTGTCCTATGACCAACACACACGCAGTGGCATGCATGCACACACACATGCACAGCTGGTAACTAATGTGGAGACTGCCATCACCTTGCTATGAACCAGCACTAGAACAGGAGCCTGCCTGTCATAGTGGGAGATCAGCTCAAAACTGGTACTGTGACCTCACCCTAGGAGTGTTTTGCTATTTTTGAAATAGTAACAAATATGGGGCACTGAAAAGTGTCTGGTTCTGAATTAATTTTATCATTTGTATCTTTCCCTCACTTAAAAGAAAAACCAAGAAACTACTTTATTGTAATAAAGATCTCCTGCTTGTTATATTTGTTCCGTTTTACTAGAGAAGAAAATTCAGTGTCAAACAACATTATGAGTTTGATATGTATTTCTCATGTAAATGGTTAAAAAAATTCAAGTTATCCTATCAACTTAGTTTCCAAATAAATTTTAATTTATTAACAACAAAAGCACGTCTTTCATTTATAGATTCTGTACTTTTTTTTAAATTAACTTTTGAGACAGGGTCTCATTTAGCCTAGCTGGTCTCAGACTCATTACAAACTGAGAATGGTTTTTGGCTCCCAGTCCCTCCTGCTTCCACCTCCAAGTGCTGGAACCACAGGTGCGCAGCACATTCCATCAGTTCATATCTACCATCTTCCTCACATGTGACTGCCCAGAAGTTATTCACTTGTTGTTCACTATTTACAATTATAACATATGGTGTTTCTCCAAAATAAATTTAAGAAAGCAGAAGTAAAACAGAATAGGATGGCAAAAACTTAAGATTCAAGAATAATATGTTAACTCTAATATATTAACTACAAGGAAAACAGTTGCAGTAAAGCCACATAACAGCTATAGGAGGAAGTTAAATGTCTTTCTTAAAGTTATGAGGTATAAATTCAGTTCTTTATAAGTCATGAGATGTTTTCACCTACTGTGTATTTTCTGAGCTGAATTTTCCCACTGTAAAGTATGTAAAAGAGGCAGTGTCAATGAGAAAGATAAGGTCTCTGGTTGTGACCTGGACAGGGCCACCCCATAGACGACTAGTTCCATTAGTAACCAACAAAATTAAGAATCAGGTGTTTTAAATCCTGGTTCATTGTTGTTTCAATGCTGAATGCTACCTCTAGGACTGCTTAATAACAAAATGGAACGGACACAGGGACTGTCCTTGTCTAGTTTCTAAAGGAAAGGGAGCTGGTTAAAGTTGGGGCTCAGGAAAGTAGTAAGGGCTGAAAAAGTGCATGTCAAGGGAGGGAGGAGTTAGAACACAGGCAGTAAAAAGAGGAAAAAAGGAATGGTGGAGCAGGAAGGGTTAAGTATAGAGCAGAGCAGAAGAGAGAGCATGGGGGGGGGGGATAAGGAGCACTAAAGACTTCTGAACATGCCTCAGGGAAACTTGCTGCCATAAAGGATTCCTAAAATATTCTGAAAAATAAGAAGTTTATGTAGAGTTGCCTGATAAAGGGGTGTAATGTCTTTTCTAAACAACAGAGGCAAAACAACACCAGATAAAAAGAAAAAAAAAAAAAGATCAACTGCTATTATCTTTTCCCTTTCAAACCTTAATGAATCAACCATTATTTTTTCTAAGAGCAATCTCTATGTATTACTAAGATAATTTAAAATACATATAAAAATAACACTTGACTGGCAAAATTTTTAAGAGTACTTTCTTATTCACTGAAATTGATACTTTGGAAATGGGTTTTCCTTTTACATAAGCATTTGCTCCCTCAGAGCAGAACACGGGAGTTGAAAACCATTTGAGTTATAATAAGAATAAATAAATAACTGGAATTAGGTGAGTCTTTCCAAGTCAGGTGCTGAGCAATTATCATGCTCTCCTGTAAAAGAAAGTGAAAATCCACCCTATTCCCTATAACACTGCTATTTTTAGTGAATACATAATAAAAATAAAAGAAATTAGCTATTCTTATGGATTAGTAGTGGCCTTCATCTCTCCTTTTACTTCTATGGTTTCTGGACTAGTGGTTATTACCACAGAGTTTAAGTGTACAAAAGGATCACAGCTCTACCCTATTACTGTCAAAAGATGTCATCTTCAATTCTACAAAAGCTACCAGCCCCACGGGTCATAAAGATAATGAGACAGCAGTTATGTAAATACTGAGTAGATGCCTCAAGCAATTTGTCCATAAGCTGACAATATTTTGCTTGTCTGAGTTGAAAAGTGGAAAGGCGTCATTTTAACACAAAAGTTCCATTGAAGCTGAATTTCTGCCCACGAGCTGAGGAACGGGACCTGAATGAACCCACGGCCAGCTTCCTTACTGAGTCAGACACTAACTTTCCTGAGCCCAGTGCATCTTGTGAGGTGCTGGCCTGTGATCCCTGCGGCCGCCAGGCTCCCCTGCTCTTCTCCGAAGAGCAGCCCTTCTTCACCCATTTATTTCTGTGCTCTATGGCAAACAGTATTATTTAAGAAAAAACTAAGGTATAAAACTTGAAGATACGTACTTGTTACTTTTTTATTTTCTCAATTCTAGTAACTACTTATTCAAACACAGACTAAAAACCTGGCTATCAAAGCAACCATCAAAGAGGTCAAAATAAACACACCAACACAAAGAGGACAGAGATGTTGTTCACTTGGTTCTCAGAACATACAGAGCAGCGAGCGGTGTGCACTCAGCAATCCTGCTTGAGAGGATCACTAAGAAGACACTGGAGGACTCAAGGAGAACTCTCTGCATGCCAGGACTACACAGTAGAGCATCTGCTGACAGCATGTCAGCTCATGGCTCATTTCTTGCCTAGAGAATTTCAACCCTGGATAATTACATTTGGAAGACATTCTATTGTGGGAACGGTACACTTAAAACTATGCTAATCCTATGGCAGTCTGCAGACAAGAACTGTAGATTCCTACATACACTTACTGAAACATTAAGGGTACACACAGGCATTCCAGTATTCTCTGTTGCATCACACTGCACCATTTCAAACAGAGCCTCAGTTCCAAACTAAGACAGTCACAGCCATCACTTGACAGTTTCCAGTAGAAACTACCATTTGGTGGGAAAGGATAAAGAATATACATTCCTTGAATTTCTGTTATTTATTTTCAATAATACTGAGATTACTATATCTACTAACTATGAGTCTATGAGACAACCATTCTGCCTTGATAATTAATATCACAAATATAAGCCCATAGCACAGCTCACATAAGGTAAAAATTGTACATAAAATTGTATGTTTAGGAGAAAATAATTGTTTTATAAAATATAGATATCACTGACACAAAAATCAGAAGCTACCTAAAAAATAAATAATCACACTCAAAATTGTCTTTACCTCCACAAAAGCCACCAGAAGTGATTTCTTCTTCGAATATATCTGAGAAGCCCCTTCCTGCATTAAGCTTTGCCAGTCGACCGTCAATAAACTGAAATGTAAAAGTTTTAAATGTTAACTTGTCATGTTTTATAACATTAAAAACTATTTATAAATACATAAAAATGAGAGAAATGGGTAAAATAATAACTATGTCTCAAGCAGCCATAGGAATCATTCCACTAACAATTTACCTAAAAGAAAACAAGAAAATATATATAATTCTGTGTATAGATATTCATATGTAGTTTTAATAAACTTTCCTCATCTGGGCTGACAATGTTTCCTTCAATAGCCAAAGACCACCTAACAAAATCCCCAATTGCAGACATGAGAAGCCCTCTTTTGACTTGTTGGCCAGAGCTGTCCAAAAAACTTCCAGCCTATTGTTGTTGCCTTTCATTGTCTCCAAAGGTGGAAGGTAAGTCCTTACTGCTGAAGACACCATACACTTCAAAAACGAGGCACCACGGAATCTTCCAAAGGAGAGCACCAACCAGTCTTACCTAGCTGTGGTGTCTAGCACCCACATCAGCATGGCCCCAACCATTAGGTGCAGTAGTGGCACACCTGCCACCTGAACAGCAGCTCTCTAATGGTCAAGACTCACTCAGCGAAAGGGAAAGCAAGCCTAGCACTGGAAACCTAGCTAATTGCCAGTGATAGCACAGCCATAGTTATTGGAGGAGAATATATAACCACTAACTTACTAAACCAGCACAATGCCTAACAATAACCTATGAGCATTTGTCTTTATAACCACAGATAAGTATAGTCCTCACCCCTCATAAAGGAAACCTCTCTTTGCAACAGATGGAAATGACTACAGAAAATTACAACCAAACAAAATACAGAGTTGTGGAACCTAGTCCCAATGGATAATTCTACAAAACACTCCCACAACTATGGCTCAGGGAATGTTGCAGAAAAGCAGAAGATTTTAAGAGCCAGAGGATAAGTGAATTTGCTCTGAGACTGTGTCTGTTAGTAATGTCTGAGGCTACACCCATGAAGTCCATCAACACCCAAACATGTGGTAAAACAGTAACAATAGACATACCAAAAAGGATGGGGAAAAGCCCAAGCTCTAATTTTACACAAAGAACTACAGGCAACAAGTGAAACTGGGAGTGAGAGAGGTTGTGTCACCAAGGGAAGAGCACACCAATTGGCTGTTCAATGCCAAAACGTCAGCCTGAAAACACTCAGACAAGGGACATTCTAAACAGGGAGCCCATTTTTTTTTTTTTAGATTTATTTATCCTTATTTTTATTATTTATTTTTTTTCTTTCTTTCTTTTTTTCTTTCTTTTTTTTAATTTTTTTTATTATTATTTTTTTCTTTTTAGTTACATTTTGTTAACTCTGTGTCCCAGCTGTATCCCGCTCCCTCATTCCCTCCCCAACCCCACACTCCCTCCCTGGTCTCCTCCCTGCCCCTTTCCAAGTCCACTGATAGGGGAGGACCTCCTCCCCTTTCATCTGACCCTGTCAATCTACAGATTCAATGCAATTCCCATCAAAATACCAACTCAATTCTTTACAGACCTTGAAAAAAAGATTCTCAGCTTCATATGGAGAAACAAAACACCCAGAATCTCCAAAACGATCCTGTACAACAACAGATCATCTGGAGGTATCTCCATTCCCGATCTCAAGCTGTACTACAGGGCAACAGTAATAAAAACTGCATGGTACTGGCATAGAAACAGAAAGGAGGATCAATGGAATCGCATAGAAGACCCAGAAATAAACCCACACACCTATGAATACTCAATATTTGACAAAGAAGCCAAATCCATTCAATGGAAAAAAGACAGCATCTTCAACAAATGGTGCTGGACCAACTGGATGTCTACATGCAGAAAAATGAAAATAGATCCATATTTATCACCCTGCACAAAACTAAAGTCCAAGTGGATCAAGGACCTCAACATAAAACCAGATACTCTAAATCAGTTGGAAAAAAAAGTAGGTAACAGCCTAGAACTCATTGGCACAGGAGACAACTTCCTGAACAGAACACCAACAGCACAGGCTCTAAGAGCAACAATCAATAAATGGGACCTCATGAAACTGAAAAGCTTCTGTAAAGCAGGGAGCCCATTATATTCAGGAATATGTATGTATACATGTACGTGCATGCAGTAACTGACAAAAAGAGGCCACAGATATGAAGGAGAGTGGGGAGGGGTCTGTGGGGAGATTTAGAGGGAGGAGAGAAAAGGGAGAAATGCTGTAGTTATACCATAATCTCAAAAGTAAACACACACACACACACACACACACACAAATACGCACATGCATATTCTCAAAGGTAGTTTATCAGTTCAGTCACACATGCCTGCCAAAAGTTCTCACTGCACTGATGATCAAGTGCAAAAATAGTGGATATGTGCTTGCAGTTCAGTCAGTATCCTGATATCACTCTGATAATATCAATACTCACCAAAAACAAAAACAAAAGCCAAATTCTTTGTCTGACTATGATGCCCTTAAGCATAACCAAGTACCAAGAAATCTTACCATTTAATAATAAATAAAGTTTTCCTAACTTGTAGTATAATTGTTAGTTGAAGGTTCAGAATAAGGATGAACAGTTTAAATAACAAAGTAAATACATATTGCTATACATGAGTGGAGAAGTACCTCTATAGGCCCCTGGACATCCTTTTAAAGATAGAGTGACCCTGGATAGCACACGTATCTGTTCCAGTGAGGGCAGAGTAGAGAGGCCTTCAAGGATAGATGGCATTAAAACAAACAAGAAGACAATGCAGATGTTTACATGGCCATTGCTGGTTGAATATCAATAATATGTTAAATACTTATGCATTGCTGGAACCTGTTTATTTACCTTTGTTTGTTCATTTATACTTTGCTGTGTTAATTATGACAGTGAAAGGTCTCTAAGGTTTTCTCCATTTTCATGTGAGGACATATCATGAAAATTTTAAATGCTTTTTTGTAAATGGTAACACTGGGTTTTAATGTTCATTCTAAAATTAACCCTCACTAAAATTTTACTCAAAAATATAAATTTTGACTGAATTGAAATTAAGTAGTCTAGATCTCACACAGTATACAATTATGCTTTTAGCAGAGATAAAACAGGAAATTCATTGAGAACACTACACAAATATACTGTAGGTTTTCCCAGCTCTAATATATAACTTTCAAGAAAACCTGTCACAGGGAAAATTAGGGAACAGCAAATAAGCCAATATATGATGTTTGAAATGAAATGTAGTCACTTTTATAAAAAAAATCATAAATTGGTTTTCTTTTTCTTATTTCCTTTTATTTTTAAATCAAATGTGTAAAGTCTAAATAGAAAAATCTAAAATGGTAGTTTTGGCCTTTTTATATCTTAGGTTATCTCAAAATCTTTTGGTCCTTTAAGCAGAGAAAGGAGCCCTTTTTACGCCTTCCCCCATGCAGCTTTTCTGTGCTGAGGATGCTGAGTGTGCATGTGAAAGCCAACACCATAACTCTGCTTTGCTGGCTTTATAATTGTTGGCTACCTCTTACCTCTAAGATTCTGTTTTCCACATGCTGGGGAGGATGTGGCGAAAGGGGAACCCTCTTCCATCGCTGGTAGGAATGTAAACTTGTACAACCACTTTGAAAATCAATATGATGCTTTCTCAGACAACTAGGAATAGCGCTTCCTCAAGATCCAGCTATCCCACTCCTAGGCATCTATCAGAAATATGCTCAAGTACAGAACAAGGACATTTGCTCAATCACGTTCATAGCAGCTTTATTCGTAATAGCCAGAACCTGGAAACAACCCAGATGTCCCTCAACTTAGGAAGGGATACAGAAATTGTGGTACATCTACACAATGGAATACTACTCAGCAATTAAAAATAAGGAAATCATGAAATTTGCAGGCAAATGGTGGGAACTAGAAAAGGTCATCCTGAGTGAGGTATCCCAGAAGAAGAAAGACACACATGGTATATACTCACTTATAAGTGGATATTAGACATATAATATAAAATAAACATACTAAAATCTGTACACCTAAAGAAGCTAAGGTGATTAAGATGATCAATCCTCATTCAGAAAGGCAAATGGGATGGACATCAGAAGAGGAAGAAAACAGGGAGCAGGACAGGAGCCTATCATAGAGGGCCTCTGAAAGACTACCCAGCAGGGTATCAAAGCAGATACTAAGATTCATAGCCAAACTTTGTGCAGAGTGCAGGGAATCTTATGAAAGAAGGGGGAGATAGAAAGAACTGGAGGGGATAGGAGCTCCACAAGGAGAACAGAACCAAGAAATCTGTGCAAAAAGGTCTTTTATGAGACTGATACTCAAAGAAAGGACCATGCATGGAGATAACCTAGAACCCCTGCACAAATGTAGCCAACGGAAGCTCAGTATTCAAGTGGGTTCCCTAGTAAGGGGAACAGGGGTTATCTCTGACATGAACTCAGGGGCTGGTTTTTGATCACCTCCCCCTGAGCAGGGAAAAGCCTTATCAGGCCACAGAGGAAGACAATGCAGCTAGTCCTGATAAGACCTAATAGACTAGGGTCAGATGGAAGGGGAGGAGGATCTCTCCCATCAGTGGACTGGGGGAAGGGAATGGGAGGAGAAGAGGGAGGGAGGGTAGGATTGGGAAAGAAGGAGTGGGCTACAGCTGGGATACAAAGTGAATAAATTGTAATAAATTTTAAAAAATGTAAAGAATTAAAAAAAGATTCTGTTTTCCAACAATTAAACCTTACTGAGTTTTGTGAGAGCTAATTAATACAATACTCATTAAAAATGCTCAAAAATAAAGTCTGTTATCCCCTTTACCAGTGTGTTTCAATCTTAATTATGAGTTTTCTCGGAGCCAGACTATTATGTTGCCCATGTATGTATCTTCAATACCAGGATATGGCAAAAATGTCTGGCATACATTTATAATTACTCCTTTGGTTTGGTGCTAGTTGGAGCATGTAGTGTCTTACTCTGCTACTGAGCTATGCAAATGAACCCAGATACCCAGTTTAAATGGAATGCAGCTGAAGGGATAAAGAACATCCAAAAGATGT